CTTCTACATACCTTCAACATTCTCTATTTCTACTCTTCTACATACCCATATTATCTCCTGGTATTATCTCCTGTATTAGAAGAAGTAAGACCAGAGTGCTCCTTAGAGGCAAGGATGGCCATACCTTATCTTACATACTTTGGAGAGACCAGTCCCTGGAGAAGGACATCATGTTTGGTAAAGTGGAAGGGTGGTGAAAAAGAGCAAGGCCCTGAACGAGATGGATTGACACTCAGTGGCTGCATCAATGGGCTCAGGCATAGGAACAACTGTGAGGATGGCCCAGGATGTTGCGTAGTTCGTCTGCTGTACATACGGTTACTAGGGATAGGAATTGACTCAATGGCATGTAACAATGACAACAACACATACCCTCTAGAGCAGCGGTTCTCAACTTGTGGGTCGCAACCCCTTTCACAAGGGTTACCCAATTCATAACAGCAGCAAAATTACAGTTAGGAAGTAGCAGCGAAAATAATGTATGGTTGGGGGAATCATCACAATATGAGGAACTGTATTAAAGGGTCATGGAACTAGAAAGGTTGAGAACCACTGCTCTAGAGTTCTTGGATGCTGCAAATTGTAAAGGTGCTAGGCTGCTAACTGAAAGGTTGACAGTTTGAGTTCCCCAAAGAGAGATATATGTCACTGAAGGCCTAGGGGTCTGCTTCTGTAAAAATGGGACATTGAAAACGATAAAAAGAATAGTTCTACTATGTCACACACGAGGTGGCTGTAAGTTGGAATCCAATGAGCACTTGTTTTTGTCTGTCTGTTTTATTCAAAGCTGCATGTAGTCAGCCTATTAGCTTCATGAGAGCCAAACATTGTACACCTACAGTTTTACTTTTCTACCGGTGGTCTTTCTTTTTAACCCATCCAGGAATCCCTCTACGTCTTCTCTGTTGATATGAAGTCTTCTAGCACACAGACACCATCTGTCAGGGAAGCTGAGGCCCAACACATGAGCTCTCCACACGCCACCCGGGTTTTCTAAGACTCAGCATTTAGCATGTCCTGCTGGTCTTCACATTATTGTTCTGTGAGGCTTGTTTCTTTTGATAGCTTGATTATCCCCTGGTATTTTGCAGGTACTCTGCAGAACGCTTCATACCTATTCGATACTAGTGTGTGTTCTTAGTGATAAATAATGAGTGGGTTGCCTGATTCATAACAAAAGATCTCATTGGAATAGTGTGGATATGAAACAGAAGAAAACACTATAGGAATGAATCTATGCTCTTCTGAAGCTGCACAAATACTCACTGGCTTCCATAATTCTTCAATTCGTTTTTCCATGCACACATTTACTAGAAATCTCCTACACCCAAGACACTGGGCTAGCATGCTTTGGAATAGAGAGAGGTATAAATGGAGGCTCTGATCTCTAAGTCACATAATCATAAGCTTCCATGTCGTCCTTAAACTCCTAATTTTTCATAAAGATTTAAAGGATCTCCAAATTGCACCTCCAAATTGGACATTTACTGCCTTCCACCTCTACTGCGGGTGACAGGAAGAGTTAAGTTCTAGACTACTCACTAAGAGATTGGAGTTCAAGCTCTTCCAAGAGATGCCTTGCAAGAAGGACTTGGGAACCTGCTTTAAAAGGTGACGGCCTTCAAACCATGCGTGACACTTCCACGCCTGTTGGAACCGGGGCACCATAAATCCGAATCAAGTCAAAGATCCATAGAAACAAAAATCCCCCCACCGGTGGAACTGATATAATGTGAAGTAAATTGGCAATCCAAAATAGGTCAGTAGATTAAAATACAAATATGAACATACACAAGCTAAATTAGACTAAGACACCCCTCCCCTGGGAAATATACATAGCATCACTGCCCTTCCTTCCCTACATCCATAATGTGGTCAACTCAAGGTCCTTCACTAGGATGGAGGGGTTACACTCTTTTGATCTCAGGAAGTAACAAGGATTAAGGATTAACTCAGCTTTGAGACCTCCCCCCCCCCACACCCAAGCAGACATTTTTCTAATTAAAAGGGGCTGGGGCACAGTGGCACCTGCTCTTATGAAAACAGGTTTGTGAGCAAGTGGAGGAACAAATAAACTAGACAGTTTGCAAAGGAAAAGGGCAGCTGGGCTGAGCAGGGATGGGCCCAGGGTGATTCAGGCTCTGCCATCAAATGGGTGTCTCCTGGGTTGGCCTACTAGGGCAATTTTGAAAAATGCTATAAATAGGATGGGTTTTCAGGTCTCCAGTATCCTCTCCGGTTTCTGATTCTTCAGTGTCTCCCTCAGTCAGCAGGTAAGACATCCATGGAGGAATAAGCAACATGGGCTATGAGGCTCTTCAGAGCCATCTGTCAGGTGCTGGGCTGGGGAGGTCTAACTTTGCTCCATGTATCCTTCCAGCTTCCACTGCCTGTGCTCCGGGATTACGATGACATAGCCTAATGTCTGAGCCTAAAGGATATACACACGTGATGTTAGTGTGTAGTAGGCATCTCAAAACCCGGAGCTAGGAATATTAGGGGCTCTTTTGTATCCCATAGTGGAGCTTTAATGTTTTCTGCAAGTTAGGCAAGACCCATGGGTTTAGAGCACAACATATTCAAGGCTCTAGACTAGGGGACCCTAAAAATACTCAAGTCTTATCCTCAGGAATCGCCACACAGGACTCATCATGTCCAGTGCAATCCTTCTTGTCTGTTTATTCTGTGTAGGCCTCAGTGAATATTTCTGGAAGTCTAGAGTGTTCTGCCATTGGGGCTCTATTCCAGAGCCCTGGAAACCCAGTTACTGGACTTTTCACCCCACGGGAGGTGATAACCTAAGGAACTAGATCTCAAGACGCCCTGGCTTCCAGGGTGGCCGATGTGCACCTAGCTGGTGGTACACACTGGCTGTCACCTGCAGAGTGGGTTGTGCTGTGCACTCCTTTTGGCATTTGGTTTGCAGTAGGTTTTATATTCAATGATTCCATTTTATAAGCATGTTCCAAAATGCCAGCCCAGGCCAGAAGCACTTCCTGGAATATAACCTGTGGGATATCATCCTTAGAAAGAGACCTGCAGTTTTCTTCTCTGCTTCAGGGGGCTCATTAGGATACTGAGATCTTTTCAACCAAAGTTAAATCAAACTGTCAGCAAATGGACTGACTTTCATAACAATTCTAGAGAACAGAGTAGATTTTCTCCATAGGATTTCCAATATTGTTCATCATTAAGGAAGTCAACTGTCACATAGCTCTTATGAGGAATGGCTGTTGGGGCCAACCGACAGACCTTTTGGTGAGCAGCATAGCACTTCAGCGACTGTACCACCGGGATCTAGATAGAGAGATAGAGAGAGAGAAAGTAGATAGACAGACAAACATATAGATATCCACACACAAACAATACTCTCAAATTGCACAAACCATTTGTGCTACACTGCTAAAGCAACGATTGGTGCTTGGAGCACACAGGAGAATTCAGGAGAAAAGCCTGGTACTCTGCTTCCATATATTTGTACAGCCAAGAAAATCATATAGGGTCACCCTACTGTACAACACAGGGGTCTCCATGAGTGGGGATCAATTTCATGGCAACAGGTTTAGTGTTTACTTACGGAGAGATAACGGCTTCAAAGGATTCATGGAAAAAAATCTGTTCCCATTACTTCCATTTTCCTAAAAACTTTGAGAAACCTTTTCCAATATGAAAGTATGGGTATTGATGGGTGTTGGTCTGTGTGCATTTACCTATGTATGGATGCTCTATTAAAAAAAATAAGTTATTTACCTAGAAAAGAATCCACCATTTGTACTCACCTCCCACCATAATTTATGATATTTGGAACTTGACTCTGGGGTAGAAGGCATGAGGGGTATGGTTAACAAGTGGGTCTTATCATCTTAACAAGGGGGTTTTATCATCTTAATAATGGGGTTCATCTAATTTCCCAGTCCAAGAAGAGCATGTTCACTCTGAAAGTGCTACCTCTTGATCTTCTCTCTAAATGCACACACAATCATGTTTCTTCCATTAGCTCTACCAGTACTTGCCAAAATGGCTCAACTCCTGAGCAGCATTCTCACCGTGATGAAGGTCTTCCAGAAATATGCCAATGAGAATGGGGACTGCACCTCACTGTGCAAGAAGGAGCTGAAGCAGCTACTCTTGGCTGAATTTGGAGATGTCCTCCGGGTAAGACGGGCTCAGGGTAGGCCCTGGCCTCATGGAATCAAGTGTGAGTGAACCTGCTCTCGGTGACCAAAACAATTACCAGGGCTTAAGGTTTGGTCATAATTGGTCTTGCTTCACCGTCATCCTGTAGCCTGAAGAATGGCAGGCGCTGCTTTGTACTTCGCTCCCAGCAAGTGCCCGTGCATACATGAATGCATGTCCACATGCACACCTCCACCATGTTTGCATCTGACTTTAAACAGGAGGAACTATAACTTCAAAGTATCTGCTAATCATTTCTCAGAAGGAAATCTAAGATCTGTATCTTGATTCTGTATTTTAGAGCCATGCAAACATCTTGCTATGGGTTCATCACTTCAGCAAAGAGTAACTGAGCATCTTCTGTACGCCTAGGCCCTCGATCAATAACCAAGGCTCACTTTCACCGGGATCTCAGGGTAGTGAGAAGGAAAGCTCAACTCACTACCAGTTAGTCAATACCAACTCCTAGTGACCCTCTAGAAGAGGGTACAACTGCCCATGTGGGTTATTGAGCCTCTAAGAGGGTAGAAAGCCTTTTCCCACAGAATGGCTGGTGGTTTCAAACTGCTAACCCTTCTGATGATGGCCCAACAAATACCCACAGTACTATATTATACAATGTGATGGATTGACAATCCTCAAGTGACTTCAACTAATGTTTAATGGAGCCAATTTTAAATGGGCAGGTATATAAGATATAGTGATGCTCCCAAAAGTTAGCAAAATGCTGATGGTCTAAACATCAACTCTTCAAGAACTAGAAGCAAGCCCAAGCATTCAGATTAGTTTCTCAACCAAGGAGGGTCCAAATAGAGCTGCCTAGAGTGGGCCATGGGCTTTCGCATTTATCTTACTGTCCACAAGAGAATATCTGATTGAGTCTTTCTTGTATCTTCTCACAGAGACCAAATGACCCAGAAACTGTGGATACCATCCTGAGTCTCTTGGATCGAGACAGAAATGGAAGTGTTGATTTCCAAGAATACCTCTTGTTGGTCTTCCAGTTGGCCCAAGCCTGCTATCATAAGCTAGATATGGGATCATGTGGAGATAGTGCCAACCAGCAAGAAGAAGGGCAGGAGGGAGCACAAGACCATAAGAGCCCTAGAAATAGCGAGAGACAGCACAGGCATAGGCATGATGAAGACAAGCAGGATTCTCATCATGATCAGTCGGACAGACCAGACAGGGATTCCTGGCATCATCAGTCCAAGAGACAACATCAGGATTCAGACTGTGGCCAGTATGAGGGACAAGACAGAGATTCCCACCATAGTCAAATTGATAGACAACACAGGGACTTTGGTCATGGTCAGTCTGAGAGAGACTGCCACCATGGTCAGTCTCAGAGGCATGACAGTCACTCCCGCCATGGTCAGTCTGAGAGGGACTCCCACCATCGTCAGTCTGAGAGTGACTGCCACCATGATCAGTATGAGAGACAAGACAGGGACTCCCACCATGGTCAGACTGACAGACAAGATCAGCATTCTCACTGTGGTCAGTCTGGGAGACAAGATAGGGCTTCCAGCTTAGATCATTCTGAGAGACAAGGCCAGGACTCTGGCTATGATCAAAAATTGAGTCATAAGTCTGGCAGTGGCCAGCCTCAAAGGCAAGCATATCTCTTTGCCTTAACTCAGTGTGAGAAACCAGTGCAGGACTCTCATTACAATCAGTCCCAAAGACTGGGACAACAATCAAGCTGTGGCCAGTCTAGAAGACTTGGACAGGATTCTTGCTCCAGCCAGATAGCTCATCAGGAATCAGGCTCTCATTATGGACAGTCTGGAAGCCTAGGCCAGGAATCAGGTTGTGGTCAGAGAGACAGGCATGGATTGGATTCGCACTATGGTCAGACAGATAGACAAGGCTTAGGCTTTCAGTGTGGTCAGACAGACAGACAAACCCAGCATTCTCACTATGGTCAGACAGACACACATGGCCAGAGTTCTCACTATGGACAGACAGATAGAAAAGGCCAGAGTTATCAATATAGTCAGACAGGCAGACAAGGCCAGAGTTATCAGTATGGTCAGACAGACAGACAAGATCGGAGTTATACCTATGGTCAGACAGACAGACAAGGCCTGGGTTCTCAGTATGGACAGACAGATAGGCAAGGCCAGAGTTACCAGTATGGTCAGTCACAGAGAGGGGAAACTGAAAGACAAGGGCAAAATAGGTACTTCCAAGGGAGCCAGGGAACTGGAAGAAACTCATGTGCTGAGCAATCAGGAAGGGTAAGAAGACTAAGTCAACAAGCTCAAGGACAGGGAGGCCAGAATAGTCACCAGGCATGGGAGGGGCAGGCTGAGGAGGATGCCCAACACCACCAACACAAACTCTTGGCACACTTCCAGCAAGAAAAGCCTCTTTGCCACAAAGGGAGAGACTGGCAATCCTGTGGCAGTGAGGGGGCACACAGACAGGCCCAGACCCAGCAGGGCTGTAGTGAGGGGACAAGCCACCAGAGAGAGAGGCAGGGTCGACAAAGCTGTGGTAGACAGAGTCAGGAAACATGTGAGACACAAGACAGGCAAACGCATGAGGAAGAGCAGAACCATCAGAGAGGAAACAGGCAAACCCATGATCATGAGTGGAACAGCCAGAGAAGAGACAGACAGACTCATCATGATGAGCAGAACTGTCAGAGAGGAAACAGGCAGACCCATGATCATGGCCACTACTCACAGAGACCAAACAGGCAGAGCCATGAAGAGGAACAAAACTGCCAGAAACAATGGAATAAACATACCCAGGAAGGGGGAGAGAGCTTTGAAAGATCACAGAACCAGCAATCCCATGGGACCCAGCAAGGTCGTCCAAACAGAGAGCAATTCCATATGAATGAAGGTGGCCAGAGCCGAGGCTCACAAGGAAGATGTAGTAACTCAGCCCTTCATCCAACCCAGGGCAATGGGAGAACCCATGGAACAGAACAGGATAGGGGTCATTCAAACAAGGCAGGCATTTCTTCCAATCCCCTGTATGACTATGTGCAAGAACAGAAATCACATGAGTACTGGGCTGCATGAGCAACAAAGCTGAAGCTACAAGAAGCCAAGAAAGAAGCCTACAAGTCAAGTTAATCTTTCCTTCTCTCTATGAACTTGACAATGTATGCCTTCTATCCATCCTCTACTCTACATGTAATGAAGGTTTTGAGGGCCACTATTCACTTTCAGGGAATATCTTTGAGCAACAATTCTGGGGTTTGCTGGTTAAGGAAAATCTGAGTAGTAAATTGGGTGAAATAATTAGATCCCAATTTGGATTATTTTGAGGATTAAATCATTTCCTTGCTTGCCCTTGGTGTAGGCAGAGCCTGATTGGGATCATGCAAAAGGCAGAAACACAAAAGGCATTTTAAAGATTTTATGAGAAGCAGGATCCATGAAACTTGAGATTGGATATGAACTTGGGCTCAGGTGAATGAAGCATCATGGAGCGTGAACTTCATAATCTTGACAGAGATCAATACAGCAAGAGCCGCGTCAAAGATCAAGACCACAGAGGGTGTCTCAACATCAGAAATACCCCCTGCATCCATGCTCCTACCCTTCACCAGAGACTGTTGAGTTCTTTTCATGGGAGTTCAATAGACTCCAACTCCATGCCTTACGACTTTCTGAGCATTAAACTAGAAAACATCTACCATCACTTTGCAAATTCCTAGGAGGCAACTTGATAAGCCATAGCTTCAGAGGCCTGAAAACCCTACACCAGAAAATCTGTGTGCAGACAATGGAATAGAATTTAAGTACTCAATAAATGATTGGTGAGCATTGACTTGGGGCTCTTTTTCTTCTTTCTTGAGCGACTGTGCTGTCTTCTCTGGTAGACCAGTTTTAGGACTTCATTTCTGGACAACTAATATCTATTTATCCCCTAAGTTCCTAAAAGAAAACAAGCAAGAATCTATATGAAACAAAAGCAGTCAAAACAAAACTTTTCTGTATGTCATGTGCTGCTCCATCCCTCTAGAGGACTCATGGATCTGATTTTTTCTCCTCATTCACCTCCACATTCAAATGGTGATTAAGACTTGCCAATTCTCAATCCTCCATATCTCTTGTGTCTCCTCCCACTTGTCCACCTCCATTGTCTTCATTTCTCCACTTTTCAATAAATGCAAAGTGACTTGTGAATGAAAGTCAATCTCCTCAGTGTGGCACACAAGGACTTTCACTATTTAATCTAGATGACTGTCCCAGCTGAGTCTCATGAGACATTCCTCCAGGAGTATCCTATCCTCTAATCACACCAACGACTTGACCTTTCCTTAACATAACCACCATGTCTCATTAATTTATAACTTTGATTATGCTATTCTATAAATTTAGGACTCCTCTTCACTATTTTGTGCCAGGTAAAAAACCTAGGCATATTTTGGATTTCAGAAAAAGCACCACATCTTTGAATAGCCTTTCTGGATATGCCTAGAACTCCCTTGGGTTCCCACTCATTCTGATTCTATCACTTGCTCCACATGTCATGGTAATTATCTCTCCTACCAAACGGAGAATAAGGCCCCAGTTTAGGCAACCTCATATGCTCAACACATAGTATACCTGGGTAAGTGGATCAAAGAAGTTTTCAAGATAAATTCTTTCAATTTGCAGTAGCATGGTAGGCAACTTGGGGATGTAATCTTTTAGACATTAGACTTTTAATCTCAACATTGAGGGTTCAAACCAACCAGCTAGTGCACAGTTTTTAAAATGAGGCTGTCTTCTCTCCTAAAGATATTGAATTGGAAGCCCTTAACAATGTCTCTATGAATCATTGAACTTATAGAAAACTGACTTGATAGTAGTGACTTTTGGCAGGGGTGGGGGGAGGGAGGGGGTTGGTACCTTGTATGGGCCTATGATGCTGGAAACTATTCCATGTAGTATTTTAAATGCTACAAGGGTTACCTATGGAAAACATGTTTCGGAGGAGCATCTAGACTTAAGACTAGTAAGAAATAACTGGACATATGCTTCCACAAATTAGCCAATGCAGACCTCATGGATCACAACAGAATTTCTTCAGTCGCACTCATTTTAGGCATCCAGAGAGATGAACTGCTAGAGGAAGACATCATGTTTTGGGAAATCCAGAGTTCATGAGAGGGTGAGGAGACCCTTGGCGAGAAGGGTTAGCACAATCGATCCAAAGATGAATTCAACCGTGCTAGGGGGTGGGAGGATGTGGAGATCCAGGCAACATTTTCTCTTACTGTACATAAGATCACCAGAGGCAGAGGCTACTTAGTGGTAGCTAACAAGATAAAAGTGTATGTGAAGCCCAGTAACAGACCAAGAGAAGTGAATCGGTCCTAGGTAAAGGAATGAAAAGCAGTCTTTTTTGTATTTGAATGAAAATGGATCGAATGTCTAAAGTTATCAAGATTGAAATATTTAAAATCAACAGGCAATCAGAGCTATAATCCAGGAATGAGAAAGCTGGAATCCAAAAGCTGCAGCCTTTGCTGCCCAAATTATCTGTCAACATCTACATCCCCACCACCTTGTTTGCCAAAAGAAATAGCTAAAAAAAATGCATTGCCTTTAGCTCACTCAAAATTTCTAACTATTATGCAAACACAATAATTAAAACAAATAATTCATGTGCAGACCATAAGCCAAGGGTCTCCGTAGAAAGTATAGAAATTGACCCCCCAAAACAAACCTATTGCCATGAGTCGATTTCAACTTAGGACAACCCAGTCAGACAGAGGAGAGTTGCCCCATGGGATTTCCAAGGTTGTTGATCTCTATGGAATTAGAAAGTCATAACTCCTGCAGATAGATGCTAAGATAAAGATCCTGGTAGATGCTAATTCCTGAACTTTTTGGTTACCGGCCAAGTGCTTAACCACTGTGCCACCAAAGCACATCAGAAAATATAGAAGGAGATAAAAGTGGCTGCCAATGGCCATTGGATAGTAGTCACTATTGATTTTAGTTATTGACAAGTTAGCTTCAACTCATGGCAACCTTATGTATAACAGAACAAAATGGTGTCCAGTCTTGTACCATCTTCATGGTCATTGTATGCTTCAGTCCTTAGTTGCGGCTATTGTTTCAATCTTTTAGAGTGTCTCCTTCATTTTTGTTGAAACTCCATTTTACTAAACATAGTAGCCTTCCCTAGTACAGTGAACCCTCGTTTATCGCGGTTAATCGGTTCTAGGCCCCACGGTGATAAATGAAATTCCACGAAGTAGGATTCCTTATTTGTAAA